TATTCTGGAACTTATAAGCAGATCAACATCATACATGTCTTTGACATTTTGTAGCTTTTCTTGGTTCTGAAAACAAAACAGCTTACACATTGCAGGGGAAAAGGTTAAGTAACTTTATAAAAAATAAAACCCACCTCAACTAAAAGAAGTTGAAAGATTAAGTACTCCTGCTTATCAGTACAGAGTAGATTTGGGTCATATATTTGATTTTACATTTTCTGCTTGCTCAAGTGAGAAAAAGAAACACAGAATTCTATTGTTTTCATGTACTGACAACCGGAAGCATATAAACATCTGCAGAAACCAAACATTTCCTGGAACTAAACTTGAGCAGAAATTTATCACGTGAATCTTTGTTTAAAGAACCTAGTGAAAAATATCTTCAACCACAGTTATGTAAAAGACCCAGGAGTGCAGTGCACGTGGACTAGGCTCTCCAGGGGCAGACCTACGGAGTCTGGAACACCACGCTTCGAGGTGCGTGTGCTGGCTGGTGCAGGTGCAGGTGCAGGGGCCGGGGCCAGGAGAGCTTTGCGAGCACACCTGTTGGTTTGAAGCCACACTCGGGAAAGGAGCTTAGAAAATCACAGTTGTCCATAGGACCGTAGGATTGATTTTTCTCTAAAAGAGTGGGTGCCAGTGTGGTTTTGGTATGGGTGCTGATTTTGTTGTAGTCATCTCAAGGCTAACACCTGCAGTCGGGAATATTTTATTTTGGAGATTAATGTGAAGCTTCTACGCTTTGAAGGAAGGAAGCAACCTTTTTCTTGGAATGTTAAGGGTGGGGCTTCTGTGTTTGCCCATTCAGAAGCCTAGTTCACTTCACAGTGAAGGACAGCAATGGAATCTATTTCTTCAAAGAGCTTGCGCTCCTTAATTTAAGTGTTCGTGACAGAAAGTAATTTAAGACTTCACAACTTACATGACATGGAGGAAACAACTTTCACCTGAAATATTTGAGGGACAAATGCAACAAACTGTGCATTTTTTTTTTAAACCTGAACTGAAAAACTTGAGTTTGGTCATCATAGTGCAGTTTCTTTGAAGAATATTGGTATACCTGAGCCTGCTAGGCTGGGTTCACTGAGAAACTTGAAAATACTGTAGTCTGTCCTATAGGTTTAAGATCGATCTTTCCATGTTTACTACATACAGCAGTTCTGTTATAGGCATTAATTATTAGCTGCTTATTCTGGTAAAAACTGATCAATTTCTATTCCTTAAGACTGAATCACACTTAACCAGCATGTAAAAGGGTGCACTGGTGGGATTTAAAAAGGCGTCGTGGGGGTTTAGAAGTCTGGTGCTGTATACCTACAAAACAAGGCTGTTATAGGATTACATATGATAATGTGGATAAAATAGCTAGCACGTAGTAGGTACTCAGTTAATGTTACTTCTTCATCCTCTCATGTTACTGATGCTGGCTATACATGCAGTTCTAGAATTTTTATACCAGGTCATACGCTTTTAGGCATTTTGGGATTTATCCTGATTTTAGCAGTGTTGCTTTATATTGACACTAATAGCATATGAAGAAAGCATAGTTTCTAGTCAGTAAATTATAGGTTGATAATAACTCAGTAAATAATGCAAATGGTTTGGAATTTCTTGGTGAAATGAAACAAGATTCAATAGTATTCAAGAGTTGAATAATTGTATCAAAATCCAACTTTCTCCAGTTTTATCTGTGGATTGTAGTTCAGCACATAAAATACATTACATTGATAAAATATTCCAGTGTGGAATCCACCAAGAACCAGATAGCCCTGGAGTCTGGGGATCGGAAATGTGTGCAAACTGGTGCAGCCAGAGAGAGTCATGGAAGACAGACTTACTCCTGAAAAGGACCTGGAAATCATTTGGCTGTATAGAGGCTGAGAAATGCCTTTGGAAATGTTAATAGGGCAGTTACAGAAATACCTGAGATGTTTAAAGAAGAACCTTGTAAAAAGAGAACAGCCACAGCTAGACTCTCGGTCACTGTTCTTCCTTCCACCCGGTTTAAGTCTATGCATGGATACAAGGTCCCCCTACATGCAGTGAAGCAAATAATACACTGTTGAGGGCATCAGAGAGACTCTGAAGACAATGCTCACAGCAAAGCGTTAATGAATAAACATGTACCTCCTCAAAGGAGGAAGCGATCAGGTGGTTGCCGGGTAATTTGAGGGAGTTGGTATTGATAATTGAGACTCAGATATCATATTTTAAAATATTCTGTGTAACTCTTAAAGTTAGAAACATTCATGTAATACAGGGAAACTAAAACTTCAGTTGGAAATATGATGATGAATGATCGAATCATATGACAACTATGCAAGTTACTGTGCAAAATTTGATTCTAACTGCATAACCCATGGTCTTCAAGAGCATGCTGTTTAGAACAGTGGAGTCTGGCCCTGCTGGTTTGGCTCAGTGGTTAGAGTGTTGGCCCAAGGACTGAAAGGTCTTGGGTTCAGTTTTGGTCAAGGGTTTGGCCCAGGATTAGATTTAGGATTGTGAGGTGTTTTGGTTGTAGATCACAAGTTGACTGAAATAACTGGATTTGTCCTTTGTGTCCTTGCCCTCTTCTCAGTCTTTTATTTATTTGTTTACCAAATATGTATTGATGGGTCACAAGTTGCCAAGGGCTGAACTAAATTCTCGGTAGAGAATGATTAAGGATGATTAAGGGATGAATTAAATAGGAATGATCTCTGCTTCTCATGAAGCTTTTATTGTCCAGTGGGGGTAGGCCTTCAAAAAATACAATTAAGTAGCCCTGGCCGGTTTGGCTCAGCGGTTAGAGCATTGGCCTGCGGTCCAGAGAGACCCGGGTTTGGTTCCCGCTAAAGGGCACGTACCTCGGTTGCAGTTTGTCCGTGGCCCTGGTCAGTGATGCGGGTGGCAGCCACTCGATGTGTCCCTTTCACATCGATGTTTCTCTCTCTCTGTTCCTCTCTCTCCCTCCCACTCTACCTGAACAAAAAAATGGAAAAATGTCCTCGGGTGAGGATAAAAAAATAAAATAAAAATACAAATAAGTAAATACAGATTGTGATGAAAGCTTAGTAGAAAAAGTACAGAGTGCTTTTGAGAGCGAGAATACCGTGGTGTGATTTAGGCTGGTGGCATTAGGCCTCTCAGCTGTGACAGGTGGCTATGACCGAGAGGACAGGCGTTCCACACGGAGGGAACAGAGTGTGCAGAGGCCCTGGCGCAGGGGGACTGGTGCTTTGTAGGATTTTAGAGGTGGCCAGTGTGGCGTAAGAGGTAGGAAGGAACCAGGTCGAGCAGAGCTTTGGTGGCCATGTTAAGAGTTTGGGTTATATCCTAGGAGCAATGGGAAGCCATTGAAAAGTTTTGATGTGGGGAATGACATAATTAGATTTGCATTGGGGAGAAAACTATCTGTGCTGTAGTGTGTCATGGTCCGTGAATGGGAAGGGCAACAGTGGGGGGAAAAACCCACCAATTTAGGCAAAGAGATGGTATCTGGCCCTGGCCATTGTGGCTCAATTGGTTGAGTGTCGTCCCTTGCACCAAGTGGTTGCCTGTTTGATTCCTGGTCAGGACACATGCCCAGGTTTTAGGTTTGATCCCCAGTTGAGGTGGGCGTGGGAGGCAACTAATTGATTGATGTTTCACTCTTACATCAATGTTTCTCTCTCTCCCCCTATCCCTTCCTTTTTCTCTAAAGTCATTAAAAACATTTTTTTTTTAAAAAAAGATAGTATCTGTGAAAATATTTAGACTGAAGTATTTATAGTTTTGCTCTGAAAAAATAAAATAGAATTGAGAATATCCTTCTTTTAGCAGAATTTACTTTGAGTTTACCAGGTTTCTCAGCAGCTGTGAAAAGAGCATTTTCTTGTTAAAAAGAATGTCAGTGCAGAAGAGTCATATGAGGATATCAGTGATTTCATATTACTTAACAAAAAATGGAGCTGCAAAAAATTGTGACTTTTTGAAAAATTAAAAATAATAAGACCATGTCAACCTTTAAAAAAAAAAGTTTTTACTTATTTTTTTTAGAGAAAGAGGAAGGGAGAGAGAGATAGAAACATCCATATGAGAAAGAAACATTGATCGGCTGCCTCCTGCACACCCCCTACTGGGGATCAAGCCTGCAACTCAGGCATGTGCCTTGATTGGGAATCGAACCAGGACCTCTCAGCCCATGAGACAGTGCTCAATCCACTGAGCCACACTGACCGGGCATCTTTTTCTTTTCCAGAAAAAATACTAGTGACACAGTAGACTCTAGCCCTGGCTGGTTTGGCTCAGCAGTTAGAGCGTCGGCCCGTGGACCATTGAGTCACAGGTTCAGTTCCACTCAAGGGCACATACCTAGGTTTCGGTTCATCCCTGGCCCTGGTTGGGGTCGTATGGGAGGCAGCCACTCAGTGTGTCCCTTTCACATCGATGTTTCTCTCTCTCTCTCTCCCTCCCACTCTATCTGAACAGAAATGGAAAAATGTCCTCAGGTAAGGATAAAACAACAATAACAAAAAAGAGATAGAACAGTAAATAAGGAAACAGTAAAGTATATGAATGTGTACCAAGAATAATTAATCTACTTATAAATGTTTATATAATATAAAGAGACCTTAAAATATTTGCTTTGATATAGTGGATATATATTATTTTTGTTGTTATAATAAATCCAATATAATAGCAGTTTATTGGTTAATAAATATTTTGTAATTTCACTTTCCACTTTCAAGAGTGTCATAGTTTGTATGATAAATCATATGGTTAGAGATAGAGGAATCCCCAAAGACATTTCTTAAAACAGAAGGGCAGTTGTAATACCAAGTATTGCTGTATCAGGTCAGCCACATCTCCAGGGCCATGAATTAACTTGTTCTGCAACTACACTTAAAAATAAAAGAGGGAGAGAGAGAAATAAAGAAACAGAAGTTATTCCCTGTCTAGACAGTCTACTTGCGAGAGTTCTGTCTTGGTTGTAACTCCAGTTTTCTTTCTCACACAGGCATTTTATTATTGCTTTTCAGAGTCAGAAGAGTCAGGATATTTTACCATCTGGAGTTTCTCTGCCTGGCTGATCTAAGCCCAAACCTGCCAGTTTATGGGAGACAGTATACTGTAACAGCTGAGTAAGTAGATGCTGCTGTGTGCTTTGTTTTACTGCTTAAAAAGAAAAAGTAAAATTTTTATAACTTTAAAGGTTTAAAATATTATGCATTTTAATTGGGTTCTTTAAATTTTTTTGTTGAATAATGGTGGCAATTATTATAATTCCAGTAAATTTATATTTATAAGTAATGTTTATAAATAATGGGATTCTAGAAAAAATTAATCCCCTAATGATTAAAAAAATTAATGAAAACATTTCCATGCATGATACTTTAGCTATTAAGAAACATAGTGAGGATTTAAATGCATATATGAAAAACCTAAAAGCATTCTATTTAATGCTTTATTTCACTTTTATATAATGAAATGCAAAATTATTGGTAAGGCAATTGTTCTGAATTAAAAAAATTTTTTTTTTCTTTATTGATTTTAGAGAGAGATAGGAAGGGAGAGGGAGAGAGAGAGAAACATCGATGAGAGAGAACATCGACTGGCTACCTCTCACATGCCCCACAACCTGGGCATGTGCCCTGACTGGGAATCAAACTGGCGACCTCTTGGTGCAATGGTCGATGCTCAACCACTGAGCCACACCAACTGTACTGTTCTGAATTTTTTTTTTTTAATCCTCACCCGAGGACATTTTTCCAGGACAATTTTTCCATTTTTTGTTCAGATAAAGTGGGAGGGAGAGAGAGGAAGAGAGAGAAAGAAACATTGACGTGAAAGGGACGCATCGAGTGGCTGCCACCGCACAACCCAACCAGGGCCGGGGACAAACTGCAACCGACGTACACGCCCTTAGCGGGAACCGAACCCGGGTCTCTCGACCACAGGCTGATGCTCTAACCGCTGAGCCAAATAGGCCAGGGCGTGTTCTGAATTTTTTAAATGCAGCTATATCTATACAGAAAATTGTCTTGGTTAACTTGAAATAAATACTGTTTTTTGTGTTTTTTTTTAGTGGAAATTAAATTTTAATAGTTCTTTCTATTTGTAAATAATGATTGTTTTTCTTACTAATGTAGATAAGAACACAATCTTTCTGATTAAACTTTGTTTCTTAATTGAAAACACTAGGGAAGAAGGGCATTCATTCTTTCTAATCAAAACATCTGAATGAAATCTGAAGAATTGATCTGTTGTCTTGATATAAATTGTTTCTCAGAATGGAATTAATTAGGAAACCATGAGGTTGTACGAGGGCCTTGTTTTGGAATGTTAAGTTTAAAAACAATTAATTAGTATAGCCGGTATGGCTCAGTGGATTGAGAGTCATCCCATGGATTGAGAGGTCCTGGTTCGATTCCCGGTCAGGGCACATGCCCGGGTTGTGGGCTCTGGCCCTAGTGGGTGGCGTACAGGAGGCAGATGATCAATGTTTCTGTCTCACATTGATGTTTCTATCTCTCTCTCTGTAAAAATCAATAAGAATATATTTTTTAGAAACCCAATTAATTAATTAATGTACAAGATGTTTTCCACAATGGGGTTATTTAATTTTGACTGTGTCTGTGCTGTCCAACAATGGCAGTTGTTGGCCACATGTAGCTGTTGACATTTGATATGTGGCTAGTCCCAGTTGAGATGTTCTGTGCATATGATACCATATTTCAAAGACTTAGTATGTAAAAATGGACCTAAAATATTTTATTCGTAATTTTTGTGTGATTCACATGTTGAAGTGATAATATTTTGGATATTTGGAGTTAAATAAAACATTAAAATTAACTTTACTTTTTAAAGTATTTTCTTTACTGATTTTAGAGAGAGAGAGGAAGGGAGAGGGAGAGAGTGATAGAAACATCAATGAGAAAGAACATTGATTGGCCACTTCCTGTAGCCCCCCGACTGGGGATGTGGCCCACAACCTGGGCATGTGCCCACCTGTGCCCTGACCGGGAATTGAACCAGTGACTTCTTAATGCATAGGTTGATACTCATTCACTGAGCCATACTGGCTGGGCTAACTTTACTTGTTAAAAAAACTTTTTTATGTGACTGCTAGAAAATTAAAAATTTTCTTGAGGCTTACATTATATTTCTATTGGACAGAACTGGTCCATAGCATCAGATACCATCAACATTCTTAGTTCTTCATTAGTGAGCATTCTGTAGGTCTTAAACCTTGTGGTCTGTGTGTGGTCAATTAATATAAATCTGTATTGTTTTAAGAATATGAATCTTTGATTAATTAATTATTGATTGAGTACCTACCATGTGGCACTAAGATACAATAGTGAGCAAATAAACAAAACTCCCTGCCTTTATGGAGTTGGCATTCTGTCGGAGAGACTAAAAATAAGTAAATAAGTAAAACATATAATCTATTAGAAGGCAGTAGGTTCTTTGCAGAAAATGTAAGATGTTCAATTATAAATAAGGTGTTCAGGGAAGGCCTCACTGAACAGGTGATATTTGAGCGAAGACCTGAAGAAGGTGAGAGAAAGAGCCTTGTAGGTATTTGGAGGAAGAGTGTTCTAGGCAGAGGGAATAGCAAATGCCAAGCCCTTGAGGCAGGTGTGCCCGTCCTCTTGGAAAGGTAGGAGGTTCGGTGATGGGTGGCAGTGGAGTGAACGGTGGGGGTAGAGAAGGAGAAGAAAGGTAATGGATGATCCCATCATGTGAGCAGAAGGTACTGTAAGGACTTCGGCTTTGAGTGAGATGAAAAGGAATTGGTGGGGGTTGAGAAGAGAAGTGAGATGGTTTTTCTGTTGAAGCTGCTGGGATTCTAGTACTCTGGGGGGGGGGGGGGGGGGATGCAAGGGTGAGGCCGAGACCCAGTGCAAGGCTGCTGCAGTGGCCCAGTTGAGAGGTAGTGGTTTCTGAGCCCACAACCACGGGAAGTGATGGAATTTTAGATATATGTTGTTGTGAAATGACATACGGGATGAGAGAGTGTGGTGTCAATGTTGACTCAGCTCCTGGCCTGAACAACGGAAGAACGGAGTTGCCTCCTCCTGAGCTGGGGAGGGTGGTGGGAGGAATGAATCTGGGGCAGCACCAGGAGCTTGATTTTGGACACATTAAATTTCAGATGCCTCTTCAGAAGTGGACAGGTCAAGGAGGCAGTGTCTAGTTCAGTGAGACAGAGAGGTCAAAGTCATTAACATGCAAAGGCCTGGGAAGGTCGGAGACCACCACGGGAGCGAGAGAAGACCGAAAAGGCGAGCCAGGAACCTGGCACCCTGGGAGGTCAGGACATAAGATGGATTCAACAGAGGTGACTGAGGAGAGACCTAAAGTGAGAATTGGGATATTCTAGTCACCAAGGAAACAGTGTTTCAGGGAAGCAGGAGTAGCCTTGTCACGTGCTACTGGTGGGGTAGGTGAGATGGGAGTTGAGAAGCGATCACTGGGTCTAGCAGTCGGAGGTCTTCGACAGGAGCGTTCCAGTGGAGCGGTGGGGACAAAGCCCGAGTATTCATTCCAGAGAGAGTCGAAGGAAATGAGTCGAAGCGGGTGATGATACAGACTCTCTTTTGAAGAACTTTGGAGTCAAGGGGGTCAAGGAAGTGTTTTTGGTTTTAATTTTTTCTATGAGAGAAATCGCCACCTTTCTCCCAAAGCACCTATTAGAAAGATTTTAAGATCTTCTGAAATGACCCACCAGATTTGTGACACTTAAGACCACCGCCTCTTTGTGTTTCCCTCCTAGGGGGATTTCATAGAATTGTGTTCAGGGGAGAGAGAGATGGAGAGATGAAGAAGAAGAAGTTGGCATTGATTGTGTTAAAAGTTGCTTTTGTAATTGTTAGAAATTCGGCTTCATTTCTTCTTGCTCAGGGTCTGTATTCACATTCTGATAAGTTAAAATTTTAAGGAAGCAATTGTTAAACTAGTTCACCTCAACCGGAGGTGTTGAGAAAACTAGTGTTTGGGGATAAGTTATTTTCCTTACTTTAAGGAAGTTGCCAGTAGCATTGGAAGAAGTTGAGGCAGAGACATTCCCAAGGTCACAAGACAAAACATGGCCAGCATAACTGGATCTGAGACCTGATTTACTAGCTCTGGGGAACACTTAATCTCTCTGTATTTCAGTTCCAACAGGTATAAAATGAGGGTAATATTTGCTCTACCCAACACATGAGGTTTTTATGAGGATCAAATGGGATAGTAGGAGAAAAAGCATCATTAACTATAAAGCATTCTATAAATATTAAGCAGTAGTGTTAACAGTAAGTCAGGCTTAAGGATTTTTTGACAGTTTTTGTAATAATTGGAGATAAATGGATGTAACAATATCTGGGTTGAGAATAATTACAATACATAATACTAATAGAATCTTCCAAGAACTTGCCTTTTGTGTATGTCGAGCTTTGTTAATAAGACCGCAGAGTCAATCGTGTTCGAGCCATCATAGAGTTTTGCGGTCAAGAGCCATGGCTGAGACCCAAACACTCAATCAGTGTGTCCTAGGAGCCTCACCATCACTGAACATCTGACTGTTTTGGCACGCTCATGTTAGTTTGCGGAAACTATGTGGAGTAGCCACTCTCTTAATGGGAAATATTCAAGCTATGATGATACATTTTATGTCAGGCTCGAGAGCATTTCTGTATTTGATACTTGAAGTGAAATTATAGGCATACTTTATTTTCATAAGAGATTATGTTATGGGAAGTTGAGAAATTTAAAATGTGTATCGAAGATTGCTCCCATTAGGGATGATGTGAAGACGATGAATGATTTTCTTTCTCCATAAAGCAAGTATAAAACTGGACAGAATTGACAAAAACGATCATTTCTGGGCACTGGAAAGGCAGACGATAAATGTGCTGGGGCTTTGGGTGAGAAGAATGGGTGTTTGTGGCCTTCCTGTGTGTGGCCTCGTCTGTTCCCCCACCCCCATCTCAGTTGGTAGGAACTGCAGTTTTGTCAGCTTATAGTTTTTACCAGAAATGAGGGACTCTGGAGCAGAGGCTGGGGTTGTGGGTAAAACCCCACAGCTTTGCTGGCTGAAACTGGCATACTCAGTTCACCGTGGATGGGGAACACCTACAGCTCTGCTATCCCGGGTTTGCAGTCCCGCTTGGGCCCAGCAGGCAGACGTTGTCCTGGGAGAGCCTGGAAGTGGGTGAATCCTAGAAGCACCGCAGTCCGCTCTCCACAGCTGTGGCGACTGCTGAGCTCTGCGCATCCAGGGGATAGACGCTCAAGACAGTCACACAGGTGAAGGCCAGGGAGGCCCCTCGAAAGCTTGGGTGCAACTTGAATGCTCCTTGACCCACAAACAACTCCATCAGCGAGTGGAAAACGCTAACAAGTGCAAAGAGTTCGGGCACAACCTCTGCTCGGGTCTTTGGCTGACCACGAACCTAGGCAGACACAGAGGTAATGTCTAAGGAACTGGGCCAGAAACTAGAAATAGGAATTTTAAAAACTCTGCAGAAGTCATGAGGGGCTATACTTTATGAAAGAGACAGATTCTGTAATTTAAGTTCAAACAAAGTACTAAAAGAACCATCAATCCTTACAATACTGAGGTTTATCAGATGAATAAAATGTGGTATATCCACATAATGGAATACTTTTGGCAATAAAAAGGAATAAAGTACTAATACATGGTACAACATGGATGGACTTTGGAAACATGCTAAGTAAAAGAAGACAATCACAAAAATCTGATTATATGATTCCATTGAAATTTTAAGAATAGATATTCATTCACAATAGCATCAAAAAGACCAAAATACTTAGGAATAAGTCCTCCACACTGAAAAATACATTTTCCTGAGGGAAATGAAAGTATACCTAAGTGGGAATATATACTGCATTTGTAGGTTGGAAGACTTCACGTGTCAGCTTTCCACAGACTGATCTACAGATTCAACAAAGTTGTCATTGTAATCTCAGAAAGGATGTTTATAGAAGAATGTCTGTGTAATTGGCAAGCAGGTACTAAAATTTATATGGAAATGCAGAGAATCTAGAGTAGTCACAATAACTTCTAAAAAGAAGAATAAAGTTGGAGGGCAAGTTTATTTAAACTATCTGATTTCAGAACTTACCATGAAGCTACAGTAGTAAAGACTGTGGTATTTGCATATGGATAGACATCTAGATCAGTGGAACAGAATATCCAGAAATAGATACATTAAGTGGTCAGTTGCTTTTCAACAAAGGCGCTAAAGTAATTCCTAGAGATAGCACTGCCTTTTTTTTTATTTTTTTATTTTATCCTCACCTGGGGACATTTTTGCATTTTTATCTTCAGATAGAGTGGGAGGGAGAGAGGGGGGAAGAGAGAGAGAAACATCGATGTGAGAGAGACACGTCAACTGGTTGCCACCCACACAACCCCAGCCGGAGCTGGGGACAAACTGCAACCGAGGTACATGCCCTTAGTGGGAACCGAACCCGGGACTCTCTGGTCTGTGGGCCGATGCTCTAACCGTTGAGCCAAACCAGCCAGGGCAGCACTGCCTTTTTAAACAGCACTGCAACAATAAAAATCCACGTGGGGTAAATGTACCTCAACTTTTACCTTACAGCACACACACACAGATGAACTTAAAATGGATTGTAAACCGAAATGAAGAAGAAAAAATAGCGGGAAGTCTTTGTGTCATTGGGCTAGATAAATATTTAGTAATAAGATGTAAAAAGTATGAATAATCAAAATAAAAATGATAAATTTGACTTAATCAGAATCACAGTTTTGGTTTTCAAAAGACCACCACCCTTAAGAAAGTGAAAAGTCACCCTGGTTGGTGTGGCTGGTTGAGCATTGTCCCATGCACTGAAAGGTAGCCAGTTTGATTTCCAGTTAGGGCACATACCCAGGTTGCAGGATCGATCTCTGGTCAATGTTTCTCTCTCACATCACTGTTTCTCTCTCTCTCCTCCTCTCCCATCCTCTCTCTCTAAAATCAATTGAAAAAAGAAAATGAAATGCCAAACTACATACTAAGAGAAAATATTTATAAAATATATGTTTGATAAAGAATTTTTATTGAGAAAAAATCATGAGACAGCAACCCCATTTAAATATGTGCAAAAGATTTGGATAGACATTTTACCAAATGAATGGCAAATGAACTCATCAAAAGAGTTTCAACATAACTAGTCATTCAGGGAATGCAAATTAAAGCCAATAATAAGATATTGCTTCTCACTCACTTTAATGATACAGTTAAAAAGTCTATAATCCAGCCCTGGCCTGTTTTGCTCAGTGGTTAGAGCGTTGGCCTGCAGTCCGGAGGGACCTGGGTTTGGTTCCCGCTAAGGGCATGTACCACAGTTGCAGTTTGTCTCCGGCCCTGGTTGGGTCGTGCAGGTGGCAGCCACTCGATGTGTCCCTTTCACGTCGATGTTTCTCTCCCTCTCTTTCTCTCTCCCTCTCCCTCCCACTCTATCTGAACAAAAAATGGAAAAATGTCCTCAGGTGAGGATTAAAAAAAAAAGTCTACAATCCATGTTTGTTGGCAAGAACGGGGAAACACCAGAATCCTCATACATTGCTGGTGGGAATAGAATAGATATAGCCGTGTTGGAAAAACAGGTTGGCAGTTTCTTTAAAAGTTCAACATACATTTAAGCAATTCCATTTCAAGGTATGCTGTAAAGAAAAATAACAGAATATGTTCATACAAATAATTGTATACAACGTTCATAGCAGCTTTATTTGTGACTGTTGAGCAGTGAAAAGGACTGTGGACTATTCATTCATATACACACACAGAACAACAACAACAACAACATGGATAAATCTCAAAATAATTATGCTGCATGGAAAACCCAGACACCCTCCTCCCAGCCAACTACTATACTGTCTGATTCTGTTTAGGTGAAATTCTGGAAAACTAATCTATAGTGACAGAGAGCAGATCAGTAGTTGCATGAGGATGACTTGGGAGAAGAGGATTCCAAGGAGGGGGCTCAATGAAACACTGGGGGTGATGTATAGATTCGTTTTCTTGGTTATGCATGATACTTTCATGGGTGTATACATATGTCAAATTGCACACTTTAAATATGTGTGATTTATTATAAAACAATTACACCTTAATAAGGTTATTTAAAAAATTGTGACCATTCAAAAAAAAAAGTTCATAGCAGCATTATTCACAATGGATAAAAACTGGAAGCAACAAATTCATCAACTGGTAAATGAATAAAACAAAATGTTATCCACACAATGGAATATTATTCGGCCATGAAAAAGAATGAAGTCCTAATTCATCCTACTGATATATATATGACAACATGGATGAACCTCAAAAACATTAGAGCAAATGAAAGAAGCCAGAAACAAAGGGCTCTATATTGTATGATACTGTTAATATGAAATTTTAGAAAAGGCAAAACCATGGAGTAGATCAGTGGTTGCCTGGGGCCAGAGGTGGGAGCAGAGATTGGCTATAAACAGGTACAAGGGAACTATTGAGGTGATGGAAGTGTTCTTGGTAATAGTTGTGCAGTTGTATAAATTTACTAAAGCTCACCCAAATGGTTGACTTTCATGGCATATAAATTATACCTCAATAAAGCTATTAAAAAATGGGCAGCCACTCAGAATTTAAATTCTTTAACATAACATAACTTGCTGATTTCATTGTAATATAATATTGCTTTGGAATACTTTAGTGAGACCTATTGAACTAATGTTCAATGTCAAATGCTCTTTGGATTTTTTAAAAATTAAGTTTATTGGAGTGGCATTGGTTAATGAAATTATATAGGTTTCAAGTTCTATAATATATCATTTGTGTATTATATTGTGTGTTCACCATCCAAAGTCAAATCTGTCACCATATATTTGACCCTCTTTGCCCTTTATCCCCCTTCCCTCTGGTAACCACCATACTGTTGTCTGTTATCTATGAGTTTTGGATTATTTGTCTTGTTTGCTCATTTGTTGCTTTCATTTTTATATCCCCACTAATAGTAAAACAAGTATTTATTAGTTGTCTTTCCCAGAAATGTGTGACCAGTAACAGCTCTGTTTCCCTTGTACATGAACATTAGTTTAGAATGATCAGTTTTATGTTTAATAACTATTAACACTTGCTGTTGAAAGAAATGGTAGTTTCTTATATTAATAATCTATCCATGTAAACTGGTTCAAATGTGTGGTGGTAGGTTGCCTTCACCTTACAATTCTTCAGGGAGGAAACTGATTGACAGTTCAACACCTTTGGATCTTTTAGATACAGAAAGATACACCCTTCTAGATCTAGGGCATATACTCATCTGTCCCCAAACACATATGTGTGAAGACATCAGGGAATCTGGGCAGAAGATCCTTTGGGAGTGAGGTGGGCATAGAGTGCAATTAAGAAAAAGAAACCCTTCTGGAGAACTTTATAGCTAGGTCTAGCCAGGTTCTGCACCAGACCAGGAATCAGGATCTCTGGGGTTAGTGACTTTATACCTTTCTCCTGCATGTCCTCATGTATTGAATTTGACTTCCTTAGCAAAAATGAATATCGTTTAGGTAGAAAATTGCTTAATTTTAATGAAAAATCAACAACCATAGAACAGTTTGCTCATAATTCTGCCCAAGTTCATGCAAATACAAAACATTTATTTCGGAATCAACTAATTCTTCCACTGAAATTCATTAAGCCATTTTCCCAAATAAGGTACCAACTATTTAACCCAATCCTACCTTTTTTTCTTTTCCCTCTTGCCAAAGAAAATTCGACAGAGATTGATGGGACACTTGTGTTTGTCTGTCACTCTGAAGGTGAGACACACCTGCGAGGATAAAGCAGCATGACATGTGCCATAAACCTGACACCTATTTGGGAAGTTATTTCTGCCTTGTCCTTTTGAAAGAAGTACTTTTGGTAACAAGTAGATCCATGATACACAAACTAATACCCTACATTTGTACTTTGTGAGAGTATTAAAAATAACTTGGACAATAACTCCTCTTTCTCATGGAAAGTTTTGCCCACTGCTCACTTTCCTATTTGGCTAATGGTCATGAATAATATATAAGCCCACAATACTACCTCAGCTGTTGCTTTGAAACTACATCAAACCCTTAGAAGTTAAAATTAGGTTGTACCTACTGCTTCAGACCTATCTTCCAGTGATACGGGGTCAGATGCTGCTTTAAATGTGTTTTTGGTTGAGCTGCCTTGAGGAAGGAAGTCGCTTGAAGACAAGGAAGTACCTGCTCCAGTGCTGCGAAACTCAGAAATAACTTCTGGGCTCCAGTGCCAGGGACCGGCAGTTCCCTTTGCTGCCACCAGGGGGAGTGCCTGTGTCGCCGAGAACCTGAACTGAGGTCTGAATTCCCTTCTAAAAGTTAGGATCTCGTGGATTGCTGGTAAAATGTGGATGAAAAATATTTTTTTGACAGTGTCGAGAGAAGGAGGACTCGAAACATATAGTGTTGAAAAGGAGGAGATTGTGGCTAACGTTCCTTTAAGTTAGGAAAGCTTTTGCCTAACAGAACATAGATCATAACAGATTTCCTTCCAGGTAAAGCAACCTTTCTAGAGGCCTGTATTTGAGAATTTTGATTGTTTAATTCTGTTTTCCCCCTTCTTTGCTACTGTGTCTATAAATCTTTATATCAAACATATATAGAACACAAAATTTAGTCTTTTTAATCCTCACCTGAGGATATGTTTTCTGATTTTAGAGAGGAGGCGGGAGGGGGGGGACATCAATCTGTTGCCTCCCGCACGCACCCTGACCAGGGATTGAACCTGCAATCTAGGTATGTGCCTTGGCTGAGAATCAAACCCAAAACCTTTTGGTGTACCTGATGAAGTTCCAACCAACTGAGCCACCCAGCCAGGGCCAGACTTTCATTCTCAGTACTGGTCCTGAGTAATTAATAATGGCAAAAGAAAAACTAGATGGTTCTCCGTGCCTTGGATCTGTACAAAACCTGTTTGCCCTAAATTAACCAGTTAAAATCTTTGAGTTTTTCACCCTGTCCCCCTCCCTGCACCTTTTTTCTTTGTTTCAGCTTCTGAATTCTTTTATGTGTTGTTTTACTGTTATACACAGTTCAGAAGGTTGGGTGAGAACATGGAAAGATATTATTTCTGTAGACCCATCCTAGGGACATGAAAGTAATTTTAATATATTTTGAAATTTGAAACGAAGATCAGAGCTAAACAAGAGTGAAGTTGGCAGTTGTGGAAGTATTCTTATTTAGGGAAATAATTTTAAGTCAGCTATGTGAATGATTCATGTCAATGTGTTTGTTTTTTTTTATTTAAATTACCCAGGACTTCTCTTTATTTTGCTAGCATTTATATGTAGAAACCATGAGCACATTGTGTTTTACATAATTGGAATTATACTTTAGCATTTTTTTTTTTTTATTGTATTGGAAAATGTTAGAATTTAGGAAGAACAGTGCTAGGTATCTTCTTTTAGTCTGAATCCTACTTTTAGAAGTTTTCTCTGAGGCTTTTTCCTGGCTCACAGTCAGACTGCTTTGATTTAAATTATGGTGCCACCGTGTTTGAAACTGGACAAAAGCAAAGTTACCCTTTAATTTTACTTTGATTCACTTGAAATCTGATAATTTCTTAATCAGGAGAAACAGAAGTAGAATTACTATGGAAGTTATACAGGATTTTATCTGTGTAGTAGCCACTTAAAAATGATCATTGCTGGTACATTGTAAGGAGTTAGCATCTTGTAAATACTTCTGAGATCACAACATTAAAAACAGATTATAAAAGAGAAAAGAACTCTGTAGCTCTTTTCTTTTTTTCTTCCACCATGACATTTGTTCTTATTTCAGAATGTGGTGACATTCATGATAATCTGTTGTCCACTTGAATGCCATCTGTCCTATTGGTTGTGGTAAAAAGAAGGCAGAGAATATGTGATACGGGGCAAGTTGTACCTTTTTTTTAAAGTTACTTTAAAAAATTATAGAGCCCTGGCCGGTTTGGCTCAGCGGATAGAGCGCCAGCCTGCGGACCAGAGAGGCCCGGGTTCGGTTCCTGTTAGGGGCATGTGCCTTGGTTGCGGTTTGTCCCTGGCCCCGGTTGGGGTCGTGTGGGTGGCATCCAGTTGATGTGTCTCTCTCACGTCGATGTTTCTTTTTCTCTCTCTCTCTCTCCCTCCCTCCCTCCCTCCCTATCTGAAGATAGATGCAAAAATGTCCTCGGGTGAGGATAAAAAAAAATTATGGAATGTTTCAGGCATGTGAAGAAAGCATAAGGAAGATTATGGAATTAAAATGTTACATAATTATTGAAACATTATGTGTGCCCTGACCGGTGTAGATTAATGGTTAGAGCATCTGCCCATGCACCAAAGGGTCGTGGGTTCGATACCTGGTCGAGGGCATGTACCTGGGTTGGTTCGATCCACTGCCCTGAGGGGCAAGTGCAGGAGGAATCAATCCATGCCCCCCCCCCTTTTACTCTCTAAAACTCAATGGAAAAAGTAGCCTCAAGTGAGGAGTAACAAAATAAACAAAATGATGTGTATTCTTCCACTTCCACAAGCCTGTCCTCCTTTCTACTTTACAGAGATAACTATCCTGAATTTGGTGTTTGTCCTTCTCGTATATGTTTTTACACTTTTACTAAGTACGGGTGTATTCCTAAACAAATAGAACGGTGATAACATTTTCTTACCCTCTTAACTTTTTTTTTCCTTTATTGATTTTAGAGGAAGGGAGAGGGAGAGGGAGAGAAATAGAAACATCGATGAGAGAAAACATCGATTGGCTGCCTCCTGCATGCCCCCCACTGGGGATCAGGCTCACAACCTGGGCATGTGCCCTGACCGGGAATCGAACCGATGATCTCTTGGTGCATGGGTCGATGCTCAACCACTGAGCCACACCAGCGGGGCTACCCTTTTAACTTTCTAAGTGTAGTAGGTTGTTGTTAACTGTAAGCACACTGTTGGATAGCAGATCTCTACAACTCTCTCATCTTGCATGACTGAAACTTTACGTACTCTGAACAGCACTCTGTGTTCTCCCTGGCAGCCATCCTGAACTTAGAGCTTCTACGAGTCTGACTGCTTTAGATACCTCATGTCAATGGAAATTGTGCAGTATTTATCCTTCTGTGATTGGCTAATTCACTTAGCATAATGTCCTCAAGGTCCATTCATGTTGTTGAATAGAACAGGCTTTCCTTCTTTTTAAGGATTGATTGATATTCCATTGTATGTATATACCATATTTTCTTCATCCATTCATTTGTGGATAGACATCTAGGTGGTTTCCCCTTCTTGGTTAATGCGAATAATACTGCAGTGAACATGGGGTGCAAATATCTCTGAGGCCCTGCTTTCAATTCTTATGGATTGAATATACTCAAAAGTAGAATTGCTGCATCATATAGTAGTTCTATTTTTACTATTTTAAGGAACCTCCATTGTTTTTCATAGCAGCTGTACCATTTTACATTCCCACCAACAGTGCACAAATGTTCTAATTTCTTCACATCCTTGCCAACACTTATTTGTTTATTCATGTATTTTGGATAATAGCCATTTTAACAGGTGAGATGATATCTTACTGTGGTTTTGATTTGTATTTCCCTGATAATTAGTGATGTCGAGCATCTTTTTATCCACCTGTTAGCCATTTGTATGTCTTGGTCTATTCAGGTCCTTTGCCCATTTTAAAATCTCTTTATTTACTTGCTAACTATTAAATTAGAAGGGTCTCTACGTATTGTGGATATTAACATACCCATAGCTATATATCCACATGTAGTTTGCAAATATTTGCCTCCCATTCTGTGGATTTTCTTTTCACTCTGTTTCCTTTGCTGTGCAAAAGTTTTTTAGTGTTAAATAGTTCTTATTGTTTAATTTTGCGTTTGTTGCAAGATCAATGTCATAAAGCTTTCCCCCTGTTTCTGCTAGGGGTTTTATAGTTTCAGGTCTTTAACCCATTTTGAGTTGACTTTTGTGTATGATACCAAACAAGGGTCCAGTTTCATTCTTCAGCATGTAGATATCTAGTTTCCTAGCACCGTTTATTGAAGTGAATGTTTTTCCCCCATGTGTATTCTTGGTGCCCTTATTGGAGATCTGTTGACTGTATATATGTGGATTTATTTCTGAGCTCTCTATTCTGTTCCATTGGTCTACATGTCTATCCTTGCGTCCATACCAATTTAAGAAGAATTATTAATTAAACTGTTATCTTTTTAATACTTCTTTAAGTATTTGATAGAATTCACCAGTAAAGTCATTGGTGTTGGGCTTTTCTTTGTTGGAAAGTTTTTTGTGTTTTTTAAAAAAATATATATATATATATATATATATATATATATTTTAGATATATATCTAAACCAAATATGTATATGATTTTAGAGAGAGATGAAGGGAGAGGGAAAGAGAGATAGAAACATCGCTGAGAGAACATTGATTGACCGCCTCCTGCATGCCCCCCACTGGGGATCGGGCCCACCACCTGGGCTTGTGCCCTGATTGGAAATCGAACTCTTGGCGCATGGGTTGACACTCAACCACTGAGCCACATTGGCTGGGCTGTTGGGAAGTTTTTTATTCCAATTCAACCCTACTTACTAGTTGCAGATTTGCTCACATTTCTTATTAATTTATGATTCAGTCTTGGTCAGTTGTATGTTTGTAGGAATTTATCCATTTCTTCTAGGTTATCCAATTTGTTGGTATATTTTTCCATTTATCTTTAGACAGAGTAGGAGGGAGGAGGGGTGGGGGAGAGACAGAGAGAGAGAGAAACATCGATATATCACGTCAACTGGTTGCCTCCCGCACGACTTGACCAGGTCTGGGGAGGAACCGCAACCGAGGTATGCGTGCTGAGCAAAACTGGCCACGGCTGTGGCATTAGTTATTATGTTTTCTCTTTCATTTCTGAGTTTATTGAGTCCTCTCTTTTTTACTTAGTCATTGTTAAAGTTCATCAATTCTGTTGGTCTTTTAAAAAAAACCAACTGTTAGTTTTGTTGATTTTTTTTTTCTGTTGTTTTTCTACTCTCTCATTAATTTTGGCTATTATATTTATTATTTCCTTCCTTCTAACTTTAGGCTTATTCATCTTTAGTTCATTGAGGTGTAAAGTTAGCTTGTTTATTTGGAATCGTCCTTTTCTTTCTTTCGTTTTTTTTATTGTAGGTGTTTACCACTATAAACTTACCTCTTGGTATTGTTTTTGTTGCATCCCATAAATTTTGCTGTGTTGTGTTTTCATTTTCTTTTCTCTCAAGATATTTTCTGATTTCTCCTTGGATTTCTTCTGTGACCTATTGGTAGTTCAAGAGTATGTTGTTTACTTCCCACATGCTCGTGAATTTTCCAGTTTTTCTTTGGCTACTCATTTCTAGTTTCATTCCATTGTGGTCAGGAAAGATACTGTGTATGATTTTAATCTTCGTAAATTTGTGTAGTACATGTTTTCAAACAAAATATAAATCATGTTTGTTGAAAGTTTATAAATTCTGGAAGTTTTGAGTTAGAGAAGATAAATCCCCAGAGTTCTTTTTTGATTAAAATTCAAGGCGATTACAGAACTCTGTGTCACTAAACAGAATCATACCACATGTTTATTCTGTAAAGACCACGTTTTCTATATTGAGCAGCACTTCAAAGGCTTTGCCTCTGCTTCACAAAACATGGCTTGCATGGCACCACATGTTCCCTAACTGAGCAGATTCTTGAAAATAGCGTTATCTGTACCCCTACTCTGTCTCTGATTTACCTTTTATTTTTATGGTAAAGAAATCACCCACGGAGCCTGCGTAACTTTCACATCTGCTTGGGTTCTGGCAGTGGGGTTTGCAAGTGAAGAATGAAGGCTGGTTTGTCATGTGTTTTCACAGAGCGTCCATGGCTCCAGGCCAAACCATTTAGCCTTTGTCTTTTTTCTTGCATAAAACTGCCTATTTTTCACTTCAAATGGAAGTGTTAGGCACTTCAGAGATGTTTGTTTTTGTCACATGCATGCCATCTGTGGTCTCTTGGCATCTTAGACAGGTTCCCAAATTGACCAAAGCGTCTGTTGGCCAGCGTCCAGACGGTCAGGATCCTAGCCTGAGCTTGTTGGTGTAACCAGCTATGGTGATGCCGTGGGCTCAGCTTTTAACAGTTTAAATAAACCCTTTATTTTAAATAATTTTAGATTTGAAGAAGAGTTGCAAAGGTGGTACAGAGAGTTCCCATGTGTCCCTCACCCATTTACCCCCACTGCTGACTCTTACATTATGTTCATTTGTCAAAGTTCAGGAACGAGCGTCAGTGCGTTACTGTTAACTAAAATCCACACTTTACTCAGATTTCACTAGTTTCCCCCTAATGTCCTTGTTCCTTTCCAGGATTCACCCACATACCATGTTACATCTGTCATGATGTCTCCGTCATTTGCTCTGGTCAGGGACAGTTTCTCAGACTTGCCTGGTTTTTGATGCCCTTGTCAGTTTTCAGGAATGCTGGGTAGATAATTTGTAGAATGTCCCTTAGTTTGGATTTTTCTTATGCTTTTCTGATTTATGGGTTTTTGACAGGAAGACTGCAGAGGTGAAGTGACATTACCCCATTGTATGAAGGGAACGTGAGAGCCACAGGACTCATCCCTGGGGACGTGCCCCTGATCACTTGGCCAGCGGAGTGCTAGGCAGGTTCTCCCCAGGAAGTGTGTCCCTGCCCCCTTTCCGTACTCTTTGGAAGTAAGTCACTAAGTCCAGTGTGGACGCAGTTTAAGAATTCTGTTAATTGTTCTGTTTATCTGTACCCTGTATTTGAGCCATGGCTACTTTTTTTTTTTTTTTTTTGGTACTCAGTAGAGATTTTGTGTTTAAAGCCTTAGGAATTAATAAAAATTGCTTAGGCCCAAGAAGGATTTGATGTAGTTAGCTGCGTTGAGTCTCTCCTCCAGGCCTGTTTGGTTTATCGTCTTTACTCTAGAGGCTTCGTGCCCTGCACACCGTGTCCTCGTGTGGGCTGCTCTGGGCTGCTCGGGTGGCCACCAGCTGGTTCTTTATTCCTCCAGCAGAGAGCCTCATCTTCATCTACTGTTGGGAGTTTAGTGTAAGAACATTTTATCCATACTGAAGCTTATCTAATCAATATACCAAAATATATTTTTTCCTAATTAGTTTGATGGAAGTTTTTCTTTTTTTTTTTTTATCCTCACCCGAGGACATTTTTCCATTTTTTGTTCAGATAGAGTGGGAGGGAGAGAGGAACAGAGAGAGAGAAACATCGACGTGAAAGGGACACATCGAGTGGCTGCTACCCACACAACCCAACCAGGGCCCGGGACAAACTGCAACCGAGGTACATGCCCTTAGTAGGAACCGAACCTGGTCTCTCTGGACCACAGGTCGATCGATGCTCTAACCGCTGAGTCACACCGGCCAGGCTGGAAGTTTTTCTGTGTATGAAATTGCCTTAAAGATTTATGAGTTTCAGTGTTCTCCCACACGTATTCTGGCATCATAACAGGAGGTTTAGCCCTCTACTGCCCATAAAGCAGCCAAATCTTAGGAGTTCAGATGACAGCTTGCTTGTTTCCATGTTGTTCATGAGGTGAAATTGTCGACGTGTTTGAATTTTTTTTTGTGTGCTCAACTCAAATGACTTTATTTACATTTTCACTTCCAGTCCATTTCTAAATAAGAATGAAAGAAGAATAAATTATTGTTTTAGTATATGAGAAGAATGTTCTTAAAAATACATCTATGTCTATATATCTGTATATTGATATGTTTTTATTCATCGAATCGTCATTTTATGTGCTCTTAGGTAACTTACTGTTTCAAAAAAAAACCTTGTAATAAAGTTTGTGACGCCAAAAGTGACCAGTTTTGCAAATCCACATTTGTAACATTTAATTTCATCCATAGTTGCAAATGTTTCATTAAGGTGGGCCAGTTAAGGTCTGTTTCCAGAATGTTAGAACTTCATGTTCCTTCTCATTATTGTGAACTTATTTAAGAAATTGTTTTGCATGTGTTAGAGTGTTTTGTGTTTGTTGGTCTTAGAATCCAGTACTAGGGGGAAAGTTCAAAAAATACATGAAGAGGGTGTTTGCTCGCTTCATGGTTCCTTGGCATGACAACTCAAAAACAGAACCGTGCTTTTCATCAACCACAGGGGAAATCCTTTCCCCGGCCCCTCAATTCTGCTTTCAGTCACTCAAAAGATTCTTAAGTTCATCTGGGGGATTCCCACACGTTCCGTAATAAGCCTCCTCTAAAGTTTTCACATACGTGAAGGAGGTCGTGCAGTGTTCTGCTGGACGTGTTCGGTCGCGCGGTTGTGTGAGGGCTGCTCAGTTTACCGTTTCTGTGTCTTAGTATTAGTCACCCTGTTTTCTAAGCGTGGATGTGCAAGAATGAGAAAGGCTGAGCACGATGAAATGAAATATAAAACAGTAATTTGTTCTCAGGTGGTTAAAGGCCTGTTAAGTCTAAGACCTTTGGCTCCTGGTATCCTGGTATCTCTGCAGTTAGTAGAGAAACTGCAGCGCCTCGGACCCGGGAGGCCTGCACCTGCCCTCACCGCACCAGGGTGTCCCCGGTGAGCTGCGGGCGGGCTCCCGAGCCTCGAGCTCGCTCTCCGACCTGGCCAGGCTGCTTTCTGCAGTCACTGTTCAGGTCCATTTCTTGATGCGATATGTGGGGACAAGGTAACGTTTACACACCTGTTTGCTCAGTTAGCCGGTCCCCTCGGGAACATGGCAAGAACCCCAGCAGGAAGCAGGAGCCTGCCATCCACCCACTGTGCCCCTCTGCATGCGCACTTGCGGAGTTTAGTACCGAATGGAAGTTTTCTTAAGTGAGAGGAAAACTCGTAATGGTGTAGAGAAAGCAAAGCCCCTGGGCATTTTCTCCTTCCAGCAAGGTGCCCGGGCTTCAGTGGGGGGTGGTTCTTCAGGAGAGTGCTCTAGCGACACAACCCCTCAGGAAATGGGCAGGAACCCAGGCTGTATTTCCCTTAGGCCACTGAGAAGTCCTCCAGCCCCCATCCAAAGCCAACAAAAAATTTAAAAACAGCAAACAAATGAAAAAACAGTTTCTCTTGAATTTTCCTGGTTCTGTCAGGCCTATACTACATCTAAAAACTTACCTAATATATTTACATCAAAAACTGAATTTTTATATTCTTATGCCAAGAAGATTCAGCTTTGTAAGGATGCTTTAAAATTGTTATCCTTCTTTTATTTCCCCTATTTGAATTTTGCTTCTTCTCTAAAATCCCCTGTAGTTTTCCTCTGGTTGTAAAATTTCCAGAAATTTTGCATGTAAACCACCTCCTGTTTGCCTGTCTCTCTCGCTTTTCAGTGGACTTGAGTCGGTCCTTACGTCCTGCCCTGTGCCGGGTTTGCAGGGTTCCGGTCCAGCCCAGTCCAGACGAGGCTGCCTGCAGAACCTGACTGCATCTCGGGGATGGTGTTTAGGCTGTACAGTGATTATCTCTTTCAGTGCATTTTTTTCCAGCTTTGTCTCTCTTTCTGTCATTAAGATGCAGAAACCACAGTTTTAATATCAAGTGATCTCATCTGATTTTGACTTGGTCTAAACTCAGAGCACCTAGAAGTGGGGTTGACTACTGCCGTAAGCTAACATTCATTCATCCAACAAACATTTATTATGTGCTCATGTTTTAAAAATATGTTATTGATTTTAGAGAGACACGAAGGGAGAGAGACAGAGACAAACAGAGACATCAATTAGCTGCCTCCTGCACGCCCTATACTAGGGATTGAGCCTGCAACCCCAACACAGGCACATGCCCTGACTGGGAACGGAACCGTGACCTCTTCGTGCATGGGTCGATGCTCAACCAACTGAGCCATAGTGGCCAGTTGGTTTTAAATCCTCACCCGAGCATATGTTTTCATTGATTTTAGAGGGCGGTGGGGTGGGGGAGTAGAACGAAAGAAAGAAACAGAAAGTAGATGTGAGAGAGAAACATTGATTGGTTGCTTCCCATACGTGCCCCAACAGGGGATCTCACCCACAACCTAGGTATTTGCCCTGGTCGGAAATCGAACCCAAAACGTTTTGGTGTAGGAGACAACACTCCAACCACCCGAGCCCCCCAGCCAGGGCTGTTCCGTGCTCACTTTGAGCCAGGCTCTGTGTGTGTGTGTGGGGGGGGGGGGGTAGAGGAGCAGAAAGGCCAGTGCTGCCCTCAGCAGGCTTCCAGTCTGGTGAGACGCAGGGTGCAGTGTGCTGGCCGCTCTGATCGAGAAGCAGCTGGGGGGCCTGCAGTCCACACGCTCAAGGCACACTGTTCTGGAGGGACTGACATAGGACCTGCGTCTGGGAGGATGGCCACAGTGAGCTTAGAGAAGATGGAGGTCGTGACAAGGGGGGCAGAGAGCCAGGGGAAATGTCAGGTTTGAGGGTGCTCCTGGGGGAAGTTGCAGCCTGTTCAAGGGCCTGTAGAGGCTGGAGACCGAGGCCCATGCTGGAAACTGCAGGGTGTTAGGGACCTGCTTGAGGTTAGGGCTTGGTAAAGAAAACTCCTCAGTTTAGTAATGAGCATGTGTCAACGTTTTATTACAGTTTTTAGTGCAAGAGGGAGGCCCCTGGTACATTCACTCTTGGTGGGGACATATAGGAAGAAAGCATAATTAAGTCATCATTAAAAATCTGTAGACCCTAACTGATAGTTGACAGTCACCTGGGTGGATGGTAATGAGTTCTCCAGATCAAGCCTTAATCTTCTTAAAGTTTATTAGAAAATTGCATTAGAAAAAGCATTTTATCTGGAGTGCTGTTGATTTCTTCCCATTAGGATATTATGAATTCTGTAGCAAGCAACCTGGTTCTGTTCTAGGCCAGGTTTGGGGCTGTTTTTCTTTTATAGGTTCAGGGTCACAGTGGAATGCAATCAAGTTTTCAGGGGTCTGTGGTGGAGAGCTTTGTAAGCTGAGGGGAGTTTGGATTTTTTATCCTGAGGGCACGAGGGAGCCCCTGAGGGATTACAGCCAAGCCATCAGCATTAGCTGCACTAGCTGCAGTGTGGGGCTGGAGCAGCAGGGATAGAAGTTAGCAGAGTATTTTAATTATCCAGGGGAAAGTGATGAGGGCTTTGAGTGCGGCCTGTCTCTCTCGTTACCCATCTCCTTCCCCTCCCCCTTCCGGGGGGAGCAGCTCTGAGAGGGACTCAGAGCTGGGGAGTGGAGGTGGGGGCTGGTAGTTGCTTTTCTCCAAATGAGTTGCTTTTAACTTTTAAAATTTAGATGATGATTGTTCTTACCACAATAAAAGAGAGATGATGATGTTAAGATGATGATGTTAAGATGATGTCAGTGGAAGCAGTCAAACTAAGACAGCTCAGAGAAGGGAGTCAAGGCCCTACCTAGGGGGTAGGAGGGGTGGACTTTGCCTACCCCCCCCCTCCCCCCGCCCAGTTGCCCCGCCCCCTTCTCCTGCTGCTTCCATCTCTGCCCTGAGGTCCCAGAAGCAGTTTCAGAAAGTGGATGCTGCAGGGCCCCTTTCTGGCTGGCTCAACCTGCTCAAAGCCACTTTCTCCCCAGTCTGTTCGTCTAAGCAGGCCCAGGGCCAGCCCAGATTCGAAGGTGTGCAGAAACCGATTTCACCTTTCAGTGAGAGGCCTGTCCATGTCACATAGCAAAGGAGGGTGGACAAAGGGGGAGGCATTAAAAAAATGCCAGCTTCAGAATCATGGTATCATCTGGCCTTAGCCTTGGCCTGGAGGCTGTTCTGTTATTCCTAATTTGCTGTAATTACATAAGATTCTGCCCTCCCTCAGAAATCTGCAGGCTGAATCTACTTCTTCCTCCTCCAGTGCACCTGCTGCGGTTAAAATAGAACCTTCAGAGGTGCCCTTGCCCCAGGTTGCGCACCTGTTGGCTTGTGGTGATCTGTGCTGTGTTTTCTTGTCACTGTTTAAAGATTTGTGGCAGAGGTGTCTCCAGGTTGCACGAAATGTGTGGGAACTTGACCTCAGTGGGTCTGCAGTGGTTTGGGAGGTCACAGTCCTCAATTCTCCTTTGGTGTCTCTGTGGTCTTACTGTTCCAGTGTCTTCTCTATTCTCTTACATTGTAACATTTAATCACTGTCATGTCAACATATTGCCATAAAAAGAACACTCCATAACTACCTAAGATAGATTGTATGGGCGTTTTTGAGGAGATGCATTTCTCTTCTGCACTTGATGTGAACACAGCATTGTCCTTAACTTTTATTCCTGTTGGACACCTACATTCAAAACGAATAATTATTCCCATTTTGCTTTTCTAATGTCATCCAGGTTGCAGAAATATCCGCCTCTAAGAACTCAGGAGGACTTATTTGTGAGAGCAGAGGTAGTGAGTCATACCTGCAGGCTTGGAAACGAGAATTCATTTGCGCCTCTTCATCCAGTCGGGAGGTTTCCTAGGCAACCATTTATGCAGTAATTAAAAGACAAGAAACTAAGAGGTATGTACTTCGAAATTTTAATCCTCAGATATAATAATCCCTGTCAGATTGAGACCTCAGTTTTCTTTTTCCTTTCTTTCTTTTTTCCCCTCGTTTAAAACAAAAAGCTTAACACTTAATTGTAGAAAACCACTATTAAGATGTGTGTGTTGTGCTGCATCCTTACTTTGGAAGTACTCGTTCTCCGATGGGAATGGTCATGCATCTTATGCTCATTTATGGGAAAGCAGAAGAGAAGTCACCGCATCAAGGGATGTCATTTAGCTGTGAAGTTACTGGAAAAGCAGGACAGCTTTCCATGTGCCTGTGTCTGAGTTTGTCCTCAGCAGTAGAACTTCTAGGGTGTGGAGAAGAGAAGGTTATTAACCATTTGTTTCTTCTCTCAGTACTTCCATTCATATTTACTTTTCCCAGTGCTTTAGTCTTGTAGTGTCTCTGACCACTGGACTTTTGTTCAGGCACCAGGGAAAGAGGGAAGTCCTGCCAGTTCTGTGACAGACTCATTTTCAGTAGCGTTAGAAATCATCTGGAAAGAGCCGGAATATTATAATATTAGCAGTGCTGTTTTAAAGAGGGTGGTGTATGGGCCTGGACCAGGTGCCCTGAAGGAATGGGAAACAAGGTGGCGTGGAAACGGCTGTTTTCCGCCGGGGCCTGGGGCATCCAGTGCCCGCTCAGCACCTGGGGCCGGCAGGTCCGGGAGCTTGGAGCCTCGGTCATTTGTATTTTCTTTTGAACGCCCCAGTTGACTCCCTTCTTCGCCAACAACTTTGACACTGTCCTACTGCAGACACGTGGCAGATTAAGTAGGTGAACTTTGTCGTTCAGCTCTGTCCTCCCTAGACCTGTGGGAGAAATTACGATAGCAAGTCCTGTTCTTGAGCGAAGGCTCTGGACTTGGTTTTTTCTGTAGCAAAAGGGAAAAATGTTTAATTCTTAGATTCAAAGTGTATGTAAGTGTACTTAATTCTAAAGCTGGCCATTTTGACACCGATGTTTTAGTGGTATTGATGATGCAGTTCTAGCCTTAATTTTAACTCGTTTCATGTAATTACATATTTGAAATGCCAGGCTGTAGTTTATGAACTCCGTAAATTATTTTTTATTTTTTTATCCTTACCTGAGGACACCTTTCGATATTTTGTTCAGATAGAGTGGGAGGGGGAGAGAGAGAGAGAGAAACATTGATGTGGAAGGGACACATTGAGTGGCTGCCACCCGCACGACCAACCAGGGCCAGGGACAAACTGCAACCGAGGTACGTGCCCTTAGCGGGAACCGAACCCGGGTCTGTCTGGACCACAGGCTGACACTCTAACCACTGAGCCAAACCAGCCAGGGCCCATAATATATTTTTAAACAAGGTAGATTAAAAAGAAAGGAATGCTTTGGCTTATCATTTCTAATATCTACATTTTACATTTTTTGTGAGATAAAAAAATGACTTATTAATTGATTTGTGACATTCATTCACTGAATTTCTCCCATTTGCCAGTCACTGTAGTGGGTATTGGGGATACAGAGATTAAGACCTTGTCTCTATTTTAAAGGCGCTGACAAGTCCAAAAGGAGAGAGAGTCAAATAAATATTGTTAAAAGAAAAATGTGTGTAGCACTTACTGTATATGCCAAGCACTGTTCCACGTGCCTTATAGGCATTAATTTTAACTTGTGAATTGATACAAAATTAGTTCTCACTATTATTTTCTCTGTTTTTCACATGAATATATTAAGGTCCAGGGATGTTAAGTACTTGTCTAAGGTCATCATAAAGCTTGTTTTGGTTGACAAGCACGTGTAGTAAGTGCATTGCCGGAGCAGTTCATGGAGCACTCTGCAGAGAACAGGAAGCATGCAGCTGGAAAATGGGGAATCGAGGTGGACATCAGTGAAATTTCCCCAAAGGAGATAATACCTGAGCAAGTCTAGTCAGAGGAGTACAAGGGCCATGAAGTACTCATTTAGTAACATAAATGGGTTCATAGGATGAATCAGGGACAAAATACTAAAAGATGGGAAGAGAGTAAAAATGTACCAGATTTCTGCATTCTCAACATAAAAGACAAGGAAAATAGATTTTTAATTTAAAGGCAAACCTTTGGTTCTAACTGGTGTAAGATATGATAAAATCATGCCACCTAAAAATTCTAATAGAGCCCTGGCCAGTTTGCTCAGTGGTTAGAGCATTGGCCCGTGGACCAGAGAGTCCCGGGCTCAGTTCCTGCTAAGAGCACGTACCTCGGTTGCGGTTTGTCCCTGGCCCTGGTTGGGATCATGTGGGTGGCAATCACTTGATGTGTCTCTCTCACATCGATGTTTCTCTCTCGCTCTCTTCCCCCCCTCCCCTCCTGCTCTATCTGAAGATAAATACAAAAGTGTCCTTGGGTGAAGATTAAAAAAAAATTCTAATAAAAATAATTAATTTACTTATTCTCTGTAAGCATGTGGGTAAATGTGTGACTCCTTTTAAAGCTACTAAGATGAACTTCCCAATCCCCGAAGATTTTATCTTAGGAAACCTGTAGCAATCTATAGAAATAGTCTACTAGTATTTATTTTGTATAAATGTGGGGAAAATATTTATATCTTTTAGATTAAAAATTGGCAGGAACCTATCAATTAGGTAGGTGATTTTTATCATTACAGGGATGCAGAATTATTCACAAGGTGGAATTGGTGGTGCCCATCTTGGCCCTGCCCCACTGGGTCTTTGCTTCTCCACCTTCCTGTAATAAGGAAGGTGCTCCCTTGAGCATCAGCCATATGTCTAACCACCCTTTTGCCCCTCTGCAACCACTACCTGCTGACTTTTTCATTACTCCTACTCATCACTGTACCTGCTCTCTGCCCTGACCCAGCTTCATTGGATGAGCCACCTGTTTCCCTGACTACAGGAGTTTGGGGGCTTATCATTACCCAAGATCTCCTCACCAACTTCCTCCAGCTCCCCACTACCCAGACTTTGTCTACTTATGGCTCAGATCAGTAAGTCAGAAATTTTGCTTGATCACACCCACCTGTCCATCCACCTTGTCCCTCAGAGTTATACTCCACCTCTCCTTTGGTCTCACGGAGACCTCTAGTCTGCTGACTCCTTTGCTCTGTACCTGTCAGTTCCTTTCTGTCCTAATTTCCCTCCAACTTCAGAATCCATGGACCAGGTTTTAAATCACTCTCTTGCCAAAGCTGTGCACTTCCTGACTATTTTGTCCTTTTGCTTGTACCTGGGCTGCTGAGCAGTGTTGGAGAAAATCATACAACTGGGCAGATTGGTGCCCGTTCACATAAATCCAGGGATTGCCAGCATTGGGCACCGTGTTATTCAGGTTGCTTGTCATTCCAGTTGTCTGTAGTGACCGTTGCTAAGCTAATTCACTCTTCAAAGGTATGATGCTCTCCTCCCCCTTACTCTCGTCAAGTGGACTCCTGCAGCAGGGCTCCATCCCACCTGCACTGAGATCCACCACCTGACGACCTCCTGGTTTTCTTCTGCCTTTCATACTGCCTTAGTCATCTTCGCTGGTTTCATCTCTGTCAGACCGATTTCTGTCAAAAGGCAAGTACTGGTGTCTGTGTTCTCTTTTAAGTGCAGTAAAACGTTTTTGTGCTTCTGTCCTTTCTCTTGTGCTGGAGGAAAACTGGAATTTGTTGTAGGATGGCAGGACCCCAGACCCTCCTGTGCTGTGTGTGTGAGCATACGTGGGCCTCACTCTGTGATCTTAGCGAGCTGCTATGCCAAGCCATGCATGGTAACCATCTCCCTTGGCTGCTGACTGGTTCTGTGCTCTGCAGAAATAGTCCCTGGAGGGGAGGGCTTGACTGACAGCTTTCAGACCAGAACTGGGCAGGAATTTCCCAGATAGACTAGTTTTATTATTACTGTGTTCTAAAGCGTTATGTTCGGTGCGGCTCACCAGTGCCTTTGCGGATTATGGCCCCGCTCCTGCCAAGTCCACCTCAGATATGTGCTGTTTTATGCCTCCCTGTGCCGGTTCTTTGATGTGCTGTTGGCGGCTCGTTGCCCGCTTTCCTGTTGGTCCTTGTAGAGGCTGCCACGCCCGCCTGCCGCCTGGGGGAGGGGCGCGGCACGCCTTTCAGGTTCTTTCACTCTTTCCTCCTTCTGTCACATTTCTTCGCTTGGCTTTCACATAAAAACGTGAACATTTAGGAGGCCATTATTCATTGATTTATTAATTCTTTCATTCCAGAGCTGGACACTTGGGGATGCAAAGATTATGAGAATGACACCCCCCTCTGGTGATCCTGAGGGAGAAACATCTAAAAGTACAGTAATTCCAACACAGGATCATAAAGACTATTAAAGTCTGTGCCAAGCAATTCATAGACATAATTTTATATAATCTTTAAAAGAATCCTGTAAGGTTGCTGATTCTATCCTATATTACAGGGGAAGAAACTGAGGCTTTGAGAGGTGAAGTCATTCGCTTAGTCTCTTAAACACCGGGCCACACAGTGGGAACAGTCACGTGTGGGCTGCAGAGCTCACGCTCGTCCCTGCTGTGAACACAGCTTCTCTCCTCCCCATTCGCCTCTTCCAGAGGGTGGGCCACAAATAGACCTCAGGGTATGCAGTAGACTGTGTAATACTGAGTATTAGCTTTAGTGAGGAGTTGGAGAACCAACTAACTAAAAGTCACGTGTTGTGGTGTTTTTATTCCTCCATTGGTTTCAGTGATTGCCTGCGTTCAGTTTATAATGCATTTGTGAGTACTGTGCTCTGTGTAACAAATTCTCACCAAATTATCGTGTTTGCCTTTCTGTTACCTTCCCGAGAGCCAGCTTCGAACTTACACCTGAAAATGCTTCCTTGGGTTTACGATTTCAAGTGCTTTACATCTGAAAGAGAAAAAAGATAGGGTTATCTGTCACAGAAGATTATAGGAACTACTTTCTAGATCACTGAAACTAGTAGTTTAATTTTAAATAGGTCGGTTATGTCGATTCCAGTTGGCTGGAAGCCAGCACCTCTGCATCTCTCT